AACAGGCTGTGCAAAACACGAGGGCCCTTCTCCCAGCTACCAGCTCCCCAGGAGAACTATGACAACATCAGCTGGGGGCAAGGGTCTGAGCAGCCAGCCTCTAACTGTGGGACTCACCACACCCCCACCCCCGAGAATAACACATACCATTGCAAAAATCTGTGGCATAACCTGAGAGGGAAACCTGAGAGGGACCCAGAGGAGCAGGAGGGACTGCTGCAGCAGGAAGAGACAGGCCCATCCAAACAGGAAACCAAACAAACAGCTCGGTGGAGAGGGGTGCTGGTCCAGCCCCCCAGAGTCACACTGTGTCTGCCTCTCAGTGCTTTCACCGAGGAGTGGGGGAGTGCTGAAGACTTATCAGAAGGCAACAGTTGACCTTCAAAATACTTACTATTTTTAGGAAGCACTTTGGCAATATCTTTTTTTTTTAATGTATACTCTCTTTGAACTACTTTATGTTACTAAGATGGTACCCAACAGATACAATCTATTTACTTACACACTAGCAAGTATACTCCAAAAGATTACAACAAGAATTCTCACTGAAGCCCTTTATATAAAAGAAAAAACTGGTAATATTAACGGGCATCAATAGAGGGCTGGTTAAATAAATTATAGCCCACTATAGTTTATCCATATGATGCAGCAAATAAAAAGAGGGAGATATGGCCACACACAAGGGTCTGGAAAGAACTGCAACATTTTGTATTAAGTGTAAAAAAAAGTATAACGAGTACAGAAGGCTTCTATTTGTGTAAGTTAAAAAGTCTATTTTGTAGAGATATGCAAGATGGTCTCCTGCTCCCTTCAGAAAGAGGGTCTGGAAGAAGATCAACTTTGCATTTTATACCTTTGTGTCCTGTAAACTTTTTTATCATAAGTTGCCTTTATTGTATACATTCTCTAAAGTTTTAAAATAATGGTACAGAAATATGTCTGCAACCATGGAAAGATGTTCAGAATATACTGCTAAGATTTTTCTTAGGCTGGAAAACATACATGTGGAACGAAAAAGATCAAGAAAGCTTTATACTGAGGTGCTGCCCACTGCTCCCTCCAGGTAGGACTGTGATGTTTCTCCTGTTCTTTCTGCCTGTCTGCTTTCTCTGTAATAATCATGGGTGGGTTTGTATTAAGACAGCAATGACAAGAGCAATAATAATAAAAACAGAAAAAGAAAGTTGGTCTTAGAGTAGGATCAAGAACAGAACTCAGAGGCCAAGCTGGCAGCAGTGGGCAAGTGAAGGCAGAGGCAGTGAGCCAGAGACCAGAGAGGGTGAAGGAGGCAGGACATACCTGCCTGTGCATCTGGATACAAAGCAACCCAAATCAGAAGCTTCTGGAAAAGATCCTCCTCCCCTAAAGTGTACCTAGTCTGCAGCAGCAGCAGTGGTGGTGACCAGACCTCTCCACCAGGACCCAGCTCTGAGCTTTCTTACTGCAGATGACATGACTGGCAGGGAGGTTCCAGAGTATGGCCCTGGGTGGCACCTACTTCTGCAGGAGGCTCTCCTCTCTGTCCCCTGGCTCCATCCCCAAACCATCCTGGAAACAGGGCAGGACATATTACCTGAACAGAGAGGGGAGAAAACAGGCCTAGGATCACTCAGCTCCAAAGTGTTGGCTGGTGTGACCCCTGGTTCTGATCTGGACAATCTCCTTGTAGTCTGTTGGATAAAACACCTCCTAACTTGAGGCATGGGGCAAGGGAAGCCTATGGCCACAGGGCTGCCACTGCCCCTCATGTGTGACTTTAGTGGGTCCCACACCCCTACATTTAAAATGGAACGAGGTCTCAGGAGGCAGCAACAGCAGAGCCACTAGGTGCCACGTAAAATGAGAGGCCTAAGACCAAAGACACAAAGCAGGCCCAAAGCAGTGGGTGGTGCAAAGGAGTAAGCACAGATCATCATCCTTTACTTCCTTCCCTGAATATCACACAGTGTGAAATTTTACCTTCACGCTGCTTCTCCGAATGTCTTTTCATCATGGTCTTACCAACCCCCGCATTACCACACCATCTTAAAAGGATGGTTTTTATCTTCCCCGCTACACACAGCTGAGGGCTGCAAAGGAAGCTATCCAGGAGCTGGTCCCAGGCTCCACATAAAGCCTGCACGACAGGGAGGAGGCTCTCAGCCTGAAGTCATGCTGCCTGAGCCAGGGAAAGTAGGAGGCCTCACTAGGAGGCAGCGAGGGGGCAGCCTCCCAGCGGGGAAGAGAAGACTTCCACATCTCACTTCCCCACCCCACGATGACTCAACACCCCGCGTCTAGCAGAGACAGCTGGCTGCGTGTCTACACTGTCTGGTTGTTGGGATTTGGTAACTACATGGCACAGACTTTGAGGCTCACGCTTCCGATGGAAAATGCCAGCTCCAGCCACCAACACTCCAGTTACATGCTATGACCAAATGGGGCCTGGAAGCCACAGAATATAGTAAGTGTAAACAATGGCTCTGGAGTAAACACTGTCTGGGTCTGAATTCTGCTTCTGTCTCTACAAGCTGACCCCAACAAATGACTTCACCTCTCTGTGCCTTAGTTTCCTCAGTTGTTGTCTGCATTAAATGCACATAAAATGCTTTGCATAGGATGTGACCCACAGTGAGAGCTCAGTAAATGCTAGCTAGAAGTAACTCATCAGGACACTGCATGCACACACGTACCACAACCCCCAACACACACACACACGCTGCAGAACCCAATCACCCTGCCCACGTCAGGACCAGGGAGCACCAGGACAATAATGTGCTCCCAACTGCATCCTTCCTGTTCTCCCACAGGTGAGTCTCACCATCATACAGTGAAAGGGGCCAAGGTAAAAAACACAGACTGTGAAAGTGGGGGAAAACCTGGACAGAAGAACCTGGGAGCCTTTGTTAAAGGTGGGGGTTCAATACACAGCCCAAACCTCTGACGACACTGTCAGCCAACTGCAAAGGATGTGCTATGTGCTGTGTATGCACGCAAGCATGAACACCCTATGCAGGAGGAGAGGGCAGGGGGTGGGGAGAGAGGCGAGGGGAGGGAGACAAGGAAGAGAGACAGAACTCCTGGCATCTAAGCACTTTCTCCCTTTGCCACTGCACCAGCAGATGCTGACACACTGACCTGGGCCAAGCTCTTGGCTCCTACTGAAGCAAAGTCTGAGCACATCCCTCAAGAAAGTGGCCTCTTCAAAGGCGAGACTAGAGAGGGTTCCCTGAGAACAGAAAGGAGGTGGGGAATAGCACTGGGAAAAGGGGGCACAGGAGGGACAGTAGAGAAACAAGAGAGTCAAGGTTCAGGACCTGGAAGAGTCAGAGGAATTCAGAACTAGGACAACTGGAGAATGTTCTTCACAAAAATCATCACTGACATCATCCTAAAAACTGGCCCCATGTGTATCCCTAGAAACAGACTTCAGGAAGAAATGAGAGTCTGCATAGGCTCCTGGGGTCTGGGGCTTGATCAGAGCAAAAAAGGAGGCTGAAAAACAGAAATGTTTGTTGACCTGTGGACCAAGGGGCACAGGCAGCACAGGTAAGCAGCCGGCAGGCCCTCGGTTAATTTCCAGGCACTGGATGGACAGGAGACACAGAAGAGAACAGCAGCCATGAGGTGCTTTACTGCAAGGGAGGGAGAGGCCGTGACTGCATCTGTCCATTCACACGACCAGACCTGTTTCCTAGGTAACTCATGGTCTTCATCCTCAAGCTGAAATAAATAGCGATGAAGATTTCTTTCCAGCTATACAGGATGGGCTGTTCATCTCTACTCCCTCCCAAAAGCCCATTAAAACAACAGGATGACAAGCTCTAGGGGGGAGACTATCTCCAAGAAAAATAAAATGGAATCAGCAGATGATCTTATATACTAAGAAGACAGTTCAGTGTATCCATCTTACAAGAATTAGTGGCTGTAACACGCTGTGTAAAAGAAATAGGCATTTATTAACTACTGTTCTGATTTAAAACAAAAGTTTTCTGATTAAAAAAGCTGATTATGATACATAACGTAGCTCAGTTGTCAAAATGACGTTAGGAGAATAAAAGAGGGAAACAGTGTGTGTGGATGAGAGGAATGTCTGCAAAAGTGCAATCTCATTCCCCTGTGAGAAATCAACAGATAACATATAAAACCAGTAAATTCAAAATGAGCAGTACACAATGGGTACTTTTTGATGAGCAGAAGCCTTCCATTTTGATGAAGTCCATTTTTTCCTTCATAGTTGTTGTCTATGACATGTTTTAAAAATATTTATCTACCCTTAGGTTCAGGATGTTAGCTTTTACATTTGAATGTATGATCCATCTGCGAGGGAGGGAAGACAAGTTTCTTCTGTTTTTCTCTACAGACAACTATTTGCTCTATACTGCTTCCTGGGGTAGGGGGGAACCGTTCTTTCACCATTGAATTTCATCAATGCTATCGTTGAAACTAAATTGAGGATATAAGTGGAAAAAAAAAGAGTGGTACAAACATTTTATTTAGATAAATGGAGGTAAATATCAGATGAAGCAGCTTTTAGCTGAATCAGAACCTGCATTTTAATTCTTTGAGAATTGCGAGTGGCTCCAGAGAGCAAGACTCGGTGTGGGAAGGCAGAGCCGGAGACTCTGGCTTATTATTACAAGCCTGACAAGAGTATCTGACTTTTAAAATTGTGTTCAGGGAACACTTTGATCAAAATAGAAATTTTCCTCAACAACGAAGATTTATTTCAAGACCAAGTTCAAATCACTCTTCCCCCACAAAGTCTCCTCAGATCTCCTTCCTCTTCTCTTGTGAAAATTAAGGTCTGCACCATTCATCTGGCAATTTATCATATTCTACTTGGCAATGAGCTAATTCTTCTACTGTTAATTATCTTTCCACCTGTGTCTTGTCGCCCTGACTAAATTAGAACTGCTTCATAGCAGAGCACACTTCTCATCACCTTGGACCAGTCCACCGTAGACCAGGTTATTAAATCCACAAGCTCAGAGAGGTGCAGCAGCCCAGCTCCCCATTACCTGCATAAGCGTTGGCCTGCTGCAGAAGGTCGGTACAGGTGTGCACATCTGCAAACGCACGGATGCCTAGGCAATTGGTGGGATGCAATTGAGACTGCAGGAAGTCACAGCAGTTCTGGCGAACATCCATGAGCTGCAGCAAGCTGGCTGCTGGGAGCAGCACCTGGAGGAGAGGGTGACATTCTGAAACGCTGGATCCCCCCCCCTGCCCCCCCCCCCAGGGCCTCATCTCCCTGAAGCAGGGCTCTAATCAGACCATGCCCAGGCTCAAGGTTTTTGCACGGCTCTCCACTGCCTGCCCAAGTAAGTCCAAACTTCCCGGCCTGGCCTTCAGGGCAGCCCCAGCCTGATTTCCCACTACTCTACTTCGTGGACCCCAACTACCAACAGATTCTGTGTCCCTGCAGCCTGCAGCGTGCCTCCCATTGGCTACTGTGTATACGAATTCCCCTGGGGGTCTTATTAATATGCAGATTCTGACTCAACAGGTTTAGGGTGGGGCCCAAGAGCCTCCATTTCTAATGCGCACCCAGGTGATGCTTGCAGATGCTGGTCCACGAACCACAGTTTGACTAGCAAGACCCTTACAGGCTAAATGTTTGTGTCCCCTACAAAAATGTATATATTGAAGCCCTACTCCTCAGTTTGGACTGTATTGGGAGACAGGTTAAATGAGGTCGGAAGGGTAGGACTCTAATCCAGTAGGGCTGGTGCCCTTATAAGAAGAGGAAGAGATACCAGAATTCTCTCTCTCTACCATGCAAGGACAAAAGGAGAAGATGACCTTCTGCCAGCTAGTCAGAGAGCCCTCACCAAAAACTGAATCAGTTGGAACCTTGATCTTGGACTTCTAACACTGAAAAAAATTAATTCCTGTTGGGCAAGCCACCCATTCTGTGGTATTTCCTAATGACAGCCCAAGCAGACTAAGACAGATTGGTTCTCTTACTTGGCTATGAATTAGAATCACCTGGAGAAATTTTTAAAACCCTGGGTCTCACCCCCAAAGATTCTAATTCAGCAGGAAGGGGTATGACCTGGTCAGTGAGATAATGCTAAAGCTCCCCAGGCGTGTCTAATGTACAGCCACGTTTGAGAAGCACTGCGCTGTAGTCTTTAGCTACTGTCTTCACTTAGAATGATACTTACTGACTTGCTCACAAGCTCATTCACCACTTAGTTACTGAGCAGCTGTGTGCCAGCCTCTGGGACTCAGTGGTAGGTAAGCAAGAGAAATCAGACTCCTGATCGTACGGAGTTCATCATCTACTGGAATAAGAGTCACCCCCAAATCCACAGGGACTCAGACAATCGCACTCTGCTCTTGCATCCAACAGATAAACAGTAAAGAACATTTTGGGATACATTCTCAGAGACAGGAGAATTGAGTTTCCTTTTAAAAGGTCATGGGACACATGAGTGTTTACACTGTATTCTAGAAGACAGAAATAGTTCCTACTTAGGTATGTGCGCATGTGTTTTTCCTCAAAGCCAGGGAAGACTGGCTTGAACAGGCCAGATGGGTGCTCAGATCGTCAACTCAGGTCGAGTTCCCTAGGACTTTCCCACAGCTGCTGAAGCCTGACCTTGGGTCAGAAACTCAGGACAGACAGACAGCGGGGTCCTACTCAACTCCAGGTCTGCTACCCCTCACCCCTGCCCTGTGGAAGGGGTAGATGATTTGAGAGTGACTTAACAAAAAGAAATTTAGGGGAAAAAAAATCAGAGTGCAGATCATTCTGGCTTGAGACTGCTTGCCTCAGGGCCCCCAGCATACATTTCACCCCAAAACAACCCCTGTGTCCTGGGCCTTTGCGCTCAGCTGCTCCCCTGGTCTCAGGGTGACTATCTGGGCCAGCCAGACTCCAGCTCTTCCACCCACTCGGGCTTGCCTAGGAAGACACAGGCTTCAGATGTTTGTTTTCTTAACTCTGGGCACTACAAAACAAAATTTTTTTGAGTGATTTAAATTCTGTAGCCAACTGTCCCCCAAAACAGCTCTGAGCCTCAGCTCTCACTCTCCTCACTTCCATATACTCAGGCCCAAAACTACCCCACTGTGCATTCTCAGGCCTTGTCTCACCACTAGGGTAACCAGTCATCCAGGCTTTCCCAGGACCGAGGGGCTTCCCAGGATATGGGACTCTCAGTACTAAAACAGGGATGGTTAGCCACCTTCCTCAGACCTGTCCACACATAGTCACCACCAAGAGCCTCTGCTGTCACCGGTCCTGCTCCCAAGCTAAATAAATGCTCTCAACAAGGAAAGCTCTTCTTACCTGCAAGTTTATCAAACTTCTCCCTCACGACAGCTGAGTTATAGAAAACACACACCTCTCTTCTTCCTCTGCCCTCTCTCCACTACTCCAGGTGCCAGCAGGACAGCAGTAAATTAGCATTGCGTCCTTGCTATTTTCTGAACCCCTGTTTGATTCCAGAGAAGGAAAAAGATAAAATCACCCACTCTTGGGAGTTTGAAACCAGAAGTGAACACCGCCAGGCTCCAAATTTGACCACCTGAGCTCCATCCCCACTAGACAGCCACATCCGCCCAGAGCAGCCATAAACTGGGAAATCAATTAACCTGTGAGCTTGCTCAGCCTAGCCAAACAGATTCTAGGACCAGATTAGTCTCTGCCTGCTAGTTTAGTGGGGAACCATTAACCATTCTCACTGAATTCATACCAGGAATGGAAAGTTGTGTTCTCAGTCCTCAAATGACCTCCATGACACTAACCTCTGACCAGCACCCTGGAGTGAGGGCCACAGGCTGACCAACCATTCTGGTTTGCTGAGATTTTGCCAGTTTTAGCACTAAAGTCCTGGGTCCCAGGAGACCCCTCAATCCTATGCAAACTGGAATGGATAGTTCCAGGGACCAGGAACTTGTATGCTGTCCAGCACAGACCCTGCCCCAAGGTGTGGCAACCCCCAAAGGGTCAGGTGTGATTAGAGGCAGAAACGGACAGCAGCCCTTGAGCTGCGCAGAGGAGGAATTTCTGAGAGTCCAGTATGCCCCCAGATTGCATTCCCAGCCAAGCCAAGATGCGATCACGCCAGAGACACACACCCCATCTCTTCTTGCCCTCTTCACCACAAAGACAGCCACTGTTTGGTGCTCAAATTCTCAAGCTCGTGACCACCAGCCAGAGAAGTTAAATAATAAATACACTCCTTAGGTAATACATTCAGTTTTTAAAAACTCCCTGGATAGAGCTGCCCACATAGCTTTCAACTTCCCTACTGTTCCTAAAACCCACTTAGCAGACAAAAATGATCAGGCTTTCCACCTCTCCGTGCAGGGCGCCCCCATCCTGTTTGCATCTGCTCCTGCCCGAAAGGGCTCTCAAGCTGACTTCCCAAAATGCAAGGGGCTGCTGGTTTCTCTAACTGCCCCATCCCTCTCTTTGATGATACACTGAGATTCTCTGAGTCAAAGGCTGTTTTCTTCCCACTGCTTGCTTCCTACAGGAAGGTGTGAAAACAAGTAAGGGGAGTCAGAACGCTGAGGGGGACAGTTTGGAGGCTGGAGGATTTATCATGGCTTAAACCCTGAGTCTCAGGGATAAACTGGGGTGTGGTCCAGAGGGGCTCTGGGGGCAGCACAAAGGAGAACCAACACAAATCTCCAGAGGCCATGGAAGAAAAGAGAGCAAAACATCCCTGTGGTGGTCTTCACTTCCCTCTCCCACTTCAAGGGCTGCGAGAGGATTTCCTCTTCTCTTATCTTGCCTGCAACTCGACTCCCTCAAGTGGCAGCAGTAACAAGACGCCAAGCTCAGGGCCTCAACTTGGAAGCCTTCTGTCCTGATGGGAATCACTAGGGCTGTACTGGCTGGTCCCTGGAAGGAGGCTGAGACATGAGAAGGGGCAGGTGGCTGGAACCAGTGCAGGAACGGAAGGTGGCCGTAGGTGAAAGCTTTCAGCTTGCCCCTCGCCACCTCAGCATTCTGGTTCTGGGAAAAAGAGTCCCTGGAATGACCCTCAGCAAAGAGCTTACAGGTTTCCCTCCAGCTTACAAATGGCTTCCCCCACTTTTTTACATGCAGGCCCCGTTTTGTTTTTTTCTCTCCCTCGGATAACATGAAAACACAGCAGAGGATATCCCGTCACAGAATTTGTTTCCTTTAGCAAAAACAAAAGGAAATGCCCTGCCTCAGAAAGCACCTACTCTTGGAATTTCGGGAAGGCAGGGCCGTGCACACAGGAAGGGCACCCGCCAGAGAGCCGGGGTAAGGCTGCCCCGGGCCTGTCCCCCAGCCACACAGCGGTCTGCCTCTGCCAGGACCAGGCATGAGGCCTGGCATAGAAACAGTGCTAAATAAAAATCTACTGAGAGAAAGAAGAAAGGGAGAGAGAGATAGAAGGAGAGAGAGAGAGAATGGAACAAGAGAGCTAATTGAAGAGCACTGTGATTAAAAGTGTCTCTTCCTATTGTGACTTCACTTGCCAGCCATGTGACTACAGGCAAATTACTTCACCTCTCTGTGCTTCTGACTCCTTAACAGTAAAATAAAGGCAGTAACAATACTGCCTTAAGGCTTGTTGTGAGGCTCAAATGAGATAACACATTTAAAGCAGTTAACCCAGTGTTTGGTGCGTAAGGAGTGCTCAGTTAAACTGGGTTTTAAACTGGGTTTTAAACTCAGTTTTTATTATGATCAATTATAATGAGATAGAGTCAAGATTCTGATCATTCATTTAACAGGAAACTCAAGTTCACCACATCAACAGGGTACAGTGAGTTGGAGAGAGCTGGATTCAAAGCCCAGCTCCACCATTTAACCCCTTGGATCATCAGTTCCTTCAACTGTAAGAGAAGGGTCACAGGAGAACCATCCAGGGGTGGTTATGAGAATTAAATGAAATAATGCATGTGAAGTGATCTACACATGCTTGGTTTACAAGCATTAATAAGAGATGGGGCATTGGTTACCTCCACCACACAAGGACAACTCGGTCTCTTCCAAGTATGTGTGGCTGGGAAGAGATTCAGGGCATAGTCTCCCAGCCATTTAACCAAGCCTCAAGTCTCTGACCCTAGATTTCACCGGTGCCTCCACACTCACCTCCTAAGTGCACCATATCCTCAACAGACACTGACTTCATAGACAGCTTGTGAGCAGCCGTCTCAGTAGACACATCACAGCAGGAAGAAGCAGCCACATTTTGATCTAAACTTTCTCTTCTTAACCTTTTTTGTTTTGTTTTCCCCCAAGGTCACCCCTGAACAAACCACAGTTTAAAGTGACAGACAAAAAAGAAAAGAGTTCATGTGTCTCAGTGATTCCCAACAATGCAAAGTTTCCTGAAGGGTCTACACTGGTGCTTCCCAGTGGAGCCCTTGCCCATGTAGCCCCCTCCCCACTTCTACACACACATGAACACAGCAGGCCCCACCGGGGTCTCACACGCCAGCAGGGACAAAGACAGGTGGGCAGAGGAGGCAGGTCTGACGTCCCAGCCTTCCTTCAAGATCCAGCCTACACAACGCCCCCTCAGTAAGGCCTGCCCAGACCATCCTCATCAAGGGGGTAATGACCATTCCCTGCTTCCTGGGTACCTCCACCCTGGCCTCTACCACACTGGAAGGCACTCATTTGCTTGGCCATCTGTCTCCACGTTCAGACCACGAGCTCCTTAGTGAAAGAGCTTCCGTGCTCACCGTGTTCTCTGCACCCATACATCTGCCAGCCCTGGGTAGCACTCTTCTAAGTGCTTTACCTACAGTAATTTATTTAATCCTCACACCAACCCAATGAGTCAAGTACTATTACTATGCCTATAATAGAGATGAAAACACTGAGGCATAGAGAAGTTAAGTACCTTGCTTGGACTCACACGGCTAGAAAATGGTGGAACCAGGATTCGAAGACAGTTTAACTCATGACCTTCCAGTCAGATGGGTACTATCATGATTCCTGTTCTACAGATGAGAAAACTGATCCTTAAGGCAGGAAGTCAGTGGGGGGATCAGAGAAGTTCCACTAGGAAGGAAATAGGATAGAGGCTGGCAGAATAAGTAAGACTCTTCCCTGGCTAGAGGTCACCAAGTCCCATGCCCTTACATTACAGATGGGAGACTGACCCCTGCAGTGGGGAAGGGCAAGAATAAGAGTCTCTGAACAGACGCTAAAGCTGGGGCCTGGACCCAGGTCTCCTTTCAGACTTGATTCCTGCCTTATCTCTATCTCTGCCTGTACTCTTAACATGCGCATCTTCGCTCTGGCTCCTTGCCCTCACCCCTACAGAGGAGTTGTAGAAAGCAGCAGTGAAGCCATTTTCTCCAGAGTCCTCTGATTCTGCTATCTGCTGCTATCTGCCTTAAGGTACCTGGTGTTGTAGACATCACCACCGGGTTAGACCAGGCTGCAAAGATAAATACCTAGCCAGACAAAAAGCAGCCAGAGTGGAACATCTTCTAATTATCTAAGCTTGTAAACACCTGGTCCTTTACAGAAAAAAAGGTATTAAATAAATACACGATGAAAAGGAAGGAAAAAACTGGTTTCAGTCATACAACTCTACAACCTCCCCTATACAATGCTTGGGGTTTGTTTGTTTTTGTTTTGTTTTGTTTTAGTGACTTATGACAACAAACAAATTTATTTTCTTACATCTGGAAGTCAGAAGTCCCAGATGGGTTTCACCAGGCTAAAATCAAAGTGTCAGCACAGTTGAGTTCCTTCTGGAGGCTCTGAGAGAAAAAAATGCTTCCTTGCCCTTCAAGCTTCTAGAGGTACCTCAATTCCTTGGCTCATGGCCCCCCTAACTTCAAGATCAGAAACATCAAACTGGATCCCTGTCAGGTCACATCTCTCTAGTTCCCTTTATTCTGCCTCCCTCTCTAATTTAAATATCCCCAGCGATTACATCGAGCCACCCGGATAATCCAAGATAATCTCCCCATCACATGTTCAGCTGATGAGCAACATTAATTCCATCTGCAATATTAATTTCTCTTTGACATTCAACCTAACATATTCACAAATTCCAGGAGTTAGGATAGGAACATCTTTGGTGGCCATTAATCTGCCTACCGCACTATATGATTAATGAGTTACTGATAAATCTTAATGCAAGATTTTTAAAAATTACTTACCCTCTGTACATTTTTAGGTTGACATTTAGCATTTTTCATTAGAATTGCAAAGGATGTAATTTCTTGCATTCTATAAGTCTCAATATTTATATCACTCTTAAAAGTACCTAAATGAATTTAAATTTGATGGTGATTTGACACAACTATCACCCATTTAAAATTTTTTTCAATACATCTCCTATATTCATTGTATACTAAATTACTTTGCACTTAGTATTACTGCCCAAGAGTCATTCAGCTGTTTGAATTCTGCTGCTAGACCTAGTAAGTAACCATGGCCTTGCCTACTCCACTCTGGATGGGAAAGACCAGAAACAACATGGAAAGGCTATGCACTTTACTGTGTATAAAAAATACCTCAATTTTAAAATTGAGGATTTGGCCAGACCACTGTAGAAACTATACCACCCAAAAGTCTGTATACAGAAACAGGCTCTGCAGGCCCCAGTGCAGGGTGGGCACCTCGGGCCCTCAGCTTGCCTGCACCCTGACACCCCTGCCTTATGAGGACCCTTCACTACACCAAGCTGACTTCCACTCATCCTGCAGTCCTCAGCTTAAACTTATCTCTTGAAAGGGCCCTTCCCAGACTCCCTCCTTCGCCCAAACAGTCCCTTTCTCTCTCATTGTACACCATGTTCCTTTCCTTCAAAGGACTTACCACAATCTGTGCATAGACCTTACTTGTGTGCTTATTTGTTGAGTGTTTGTCTTCACCCTTGGACCACAAATTCTATGAAAGCAAGCAACTGAATCACCTCTGCTCCATGGTATAAACACAGTGCCCAACAAAGTAGCATATAACGGGCACTCAAACATCTGGGCCAAAGGGGATAAATACACGATTATCAATTCAGCCTCCCAAATACCTCGATCCTGGAAAAGAAGCTGGTGTTCTGGATAAGGGAAATGGGCATTTTGGTCACCAGAGAGGTATCTGTCTCACAATACATAAGGTGGAATTGTGTTTTTAAAAACAAAAAAGGAAGGAAAAAACCTCCATGTCACATGTAATTTCCATCGCTTTAATTGAATAGTAAGATCCTTAATGACAAGAAATAGTGTATCTTATGCACCCCAGTGTTCACAGCAGCACTATTTACAATAGCCAAGACGTGGAAACAACCTAAATGTCTATCAACAGAAGAATAAAGAAGTTGTGGTATACACACACACACACACACACACACACACACACACACACACACACACACTGAAATATTACTCAGCCATAAAAAAGAATGAAA